CAGAGTGGTTTGGGGTCTGTGATGGGCTATAAATCGTCCAGACATACAGTGGAATTACCCTGGGGAGCAATAATTGTTCCGTATTGTGCTTCTCTACATGTATAGATACAGAGACATGCTAGATTCACCATATAAAACTCAACCAACTGTTCTGATGGACTGAACACGTTTTGCCCCACCAGATGTGATGGGAGCCCCACCAGATGTGATAGGAGCCCCACCAGTGCCCAGCATCACAGTGCAGTACAGGAGATGGTGGAGAATCTACTCGGGTGACGTCACTGTTGGGTGATGTGGGACTATAATGTGTCATGAAATAAATTTACTGCAAGTGTTTGCATAAGTAAGCTTGACTCACAGAAAGTTTGTATATTTGCCTTTGGAAAACACATGAAAACTCACGATCCTTGCATTTCTATGCAGTTGGTATTGACATATGTACCATGAAACTTTTGTAAGCTGGCACTGTCAGATTTTTAAGTCCAGCATATTGGCCAGGGCTGCATTTGCAGCAAAGCCATATGCTGCTCTGCATGGAGAAGGCTTAAGCCTAAAGATGCTGAGGTACAATTGCAAAATATAAACTCAAACTGACAAAGAATTTGAAATAAATAAATAAAGTAATAAATAGAGAGGCTCGAACACAACCATTCGGCAGAGGATGTTCACACACAAGCAAAGGCTATTCCTCTGTAAGATCAGTGATGGATTGACTATTAGCACGCAGGCGTTTTATCTCCCAGGCACCCAGAGCTCAAGAAGATGCTAACAGGCTGCTTGATTTAAGGGGCTTTTTTGAATGTGAGACGTAAATCTCGGCACAAGAATGCACACAGTATTGAACTGTGTCCAGAGACCACGGCAAGAACCCACAGCTCTCTCTTCTTAATGAACTGCCACAAAAACCTGGGGTGGACAGAAGGTGAATGGCACTTTGTTTTACTGAGCTTTTCATTGCAAGGGAAGAAGGGGAAAAAAGCCTTGAGAAGGAATCAGGCATTATGAACAACAACAACAGCACCTCAAAGCACAAAGCAGCCCTTCTATATAAATTTGAATGGAAAGAGGGAGTAAAAAGGAATCATGGTTTAGTGAAAGAAATTGCTCAGGTATAGCTCTGGTGCTTGGAAATTCTTGTTTTTCAACAGCGTGTCAGTGGGGAGTTAGAGGCTGACACTCAGCTGATGTAAATCAGTGTTGCTCCTTCACCACAGCTGATTTATGGTGCCTGAAGCTCTGGCCCCATATTTTCTTTTGTGGGCATGTTTGTTTGTCAGAGGACAATTTTTTTTCACCACTTCTGTTTTGCTTGTAAATGAAACTATAGGCTAAAAACAACAAACCATGTTGTCTCAAACACTGAGATGTGCTTGTTCTGTGAAAAATCCCTACACTGAGTGGCAAAGCTGTGGCCTTTTGGCCAACTTTGCTTTTCCAGGTGAAGATTATATTCACCCAGAGAGGAATTGCGCCCAAGGGTTTGTATCTGATGTCTTCTGTGTTAGAAAAATGCAGCAGCATGAAGCACCCACAGACTGGTATGATTTAGACATCCCAGAGGAATATGAAATGTAGGATCACAGGTTTTCCCATCAGTGGTTTTATCAATGCTGTTTAGCATCAGGCTGGCAGGTTATGTGGAAACATAAGACAGGGATCTTACACCAGGGACCAGTTTGGCTCATAGGTGATTCGTACCTTAGGACTGCTTAGGACTCAGGAAAATGCCTGCAAGTAAATGAATATAAAGTCACCTTAGTGAGAAAGCCGAGTATGTTTCTTTTGTGACCAGAGGGAAGAAATTAATGAACAGAAAGATCTGATGCCTTGGAGGCTGGGGAGGCATGAGGTCTGCAGGAAGGCAACCTGCATCCTCAGCTTTTAGAGATATTTCTAGAAGGATAGATCACAGGCTGGAGAACCACCAAAAAAAATAATAAATACAAATGATTAAAGAAACCACATATAAAATGCCACCATGAAGCACATGTAAATAAGAGCAACAAAGCTGTGTTTTACCTGCAGTTGTTCATTCTCATCACTCACCTCACGGCGCAAGGCATTGAAATATAAACCCAAGGGTTTCTTTCAAATGCCAAAGGCAGGTTGGTAGCAGCCCCTCTCCTCCCACTCCAGCCCCTGCTGTCCCCAGGGCTCAGACATCCACACGCTGAAACTCAGGAGCAGCAAAGCTGAAGGCAAGAGAAAGGAAGAAACTGCCTGTAAGGTATGGCAAAAAAAAAAAAGATTATGAGCAATTACACATTTACAATGCCAGTCAAAGAAG